AAAAAGTTTCAGTGGAACCACACTCTTGCCCTCGAATTGTCTAAGGCAAGTCAGCAGTGACTGCACGTGCTCGCTCGTAAGCTGTGCGGACATGGCGACAGAGTAGGTATCCATACCGAGAAAAGAGATCCTCTGCACGGGGCAAAGTTTGCTCTTTTCCCAGTTGACCCGAAGGCCCAGACGAGCCAGGTGCCGCAGCACTAGGTCCCTGTGTGTTGCAAACCTGATCTCGAGAGTGAGCTGCGACCTCGCTGCCTCGGCGACCTTCGTGAAGGAGGGCTAGCCGAAAGGGAGAACCGCGTACTGGTATGCCTACCTCTCGAGAGCAAACCGTAGTAACGGTCTGTGTTGAGGGAGAATGGAGACATGGAAGTAGGCGTCCTTCAGGTCAATCGCTGCAAACCAATCTTGGGGCCGCACATATTCGAAAATGCGTTTGGCAGTGAGCATCTTGAAAGACAGCGGTTCAGCATGCGCCGATTACCCACCGGTTTTCTTTGGGACACCCCTGAACTGGGGACGAGACAAACTCAGGTCCGAGTAAATGATGAGCATTTTCAATTCTTGGTGAACTACCCCTTAGTTAGTTCATTCTAAAGTAGCCATCGGCCTGTTATACAGTTTTTGTACCAGACCTCAAAAGTTACCTGTGCCCAGTCCCGGGCGGCCCTTGGTTTTAGCAGGCCAAAAATCAGCAGCAGGTTTGGAATACTCAGTGGTGTCCAAAATGTACAATAATTTAAAGCATGCATCAACTGCTTGTAAAGACAGTCTTGCTTCAGTGCCATTCCTCCCACAATAACGAAGGCATTTAATCAAAATTAGGATTGGGATCAAATAATGACACAAAAGTGCCCAATTTTTAGCAATTAAGGAAGAATAGCTGGCATGGTTTTAATATAACATTTCCAAGAGTATCTTAAACAGAAAGAACAATGGATAAATCTCAAAACAAGAATGGAAAAAAGGGGGCACTCTTGAAGCTTTTTTGTAAGACATGGTAGCAGTCTTTCATCTGACATCTTACTGTTGTAATAATAATGGTTTAATGTCTATAATAAATCAACTTGATTGGCAGTTACAACTTTCTCTGTTACATTATTAGTGGGTGGTAATTCAAGTGAATCAATGAATCAGTGAATGATTCAGTGAATTAGTGTAATTTGTTGTATAAAACCAATATCACACTCGTAATTGTGCTGTTAGACACAATATCAGCAAGCTGTGGTAACCTGTGGCCTCATTCCCGATATAGAGTTTCATCACTCTAGAATCACTGAAAGTGACATTTATGTGTCTTTACAGAGTAATTACAAATGCATATTTAGATTCTGAGATAGGTCAGAGCTATATTGCATTGCAATTGATACATGCTTTACATTTTGGAGACTGAGTATCCCAAGCTTGCTGCTGCTGTTTAGCAGTCTCTACAGCACACTATACTCTATAATCTGTTTAATCAACACACTGTGACCCATTTTTAGACATTTTACAATGACATTGTCTGTACTAGCTTTGTTCTGATTGTTAATTTATTCATTTGTGATTCTTGTGAATTGAAACATATTAGCAAGTACAAACGAATGAAATAAAGAAGTAATTAATTACACAATTGCAACCATCAATAACTTAATTTTATAGAAGTGTTTGTACCATTAAATGTAATGGAAAGAAAGCCTTTTCAATATATTTTTAAGTTTTGCATTATAATTTTTTTATAAATAAATAAATAATACATGCATGAATAAAAAAATAATAATAATACGAGAATGATTAAAGAACTAATTAGTGATTTTATAACCCAATTTATTGGGTAAAACTTAACACCCAATACATTGGGTCAAATTAACCTATACGATAGGTCGGTATCAACCCACCATTGGGTCATTTTTAACCGAACTGCTTTAAGAGAGTAGTAAGCTAGGAGTTGATTTAGGCGCACCCAAATCCTCTCACATGGCCTCATGGGTCCATTGTGTGCACACTTCAGAATCTCGCTGGAAGTAGTAGGTCATCCGGGTACTTTTTGTCCACTCTTATCAGTGATACTTTTGTCACACACTGTTTTTCGCCTACTATGTTGGGTGGGTATGCCATTTTGGACGCAGTCATCGAGGTGTCAAATGTTTTGCTGACAAATTGGTTCAGAAAACATGGAGAACAAGTAAGCATTGTTCATTAACATACACCAACATTGTAACAAATAACTCTGCATTTTTGATCCAATAAATGTGGACTTGTAAACTTTTGCAAAGTAGTTAATATTTCTTCATAATAATAACTAATATATTAAAATGTATTATATTTTAACATAAAATTAATTTTCAGCATTGAGGCATTGTCAGGGTGAACTAATGAATGAAATTATTATTCACTTATAGACTAGGTCTATATACTTTGCGTCAAGAGATTAAGGTTGTCAGTAAGCCACATACACTGAGTTGTTTGACTAGTATGGCGGACTGGCAGCTGAATACTGATGAACTGATATTTGAAAAACGCAGTCGCCCCTGGGACCCCCCTCTCTACGCAAAGCAGAAGAGGTTGGCAGAGAGTGTGGCCTCTCATTTCCAATTACAAGGGAGGTTTTAATGAGAGACAAACACCAGGCGCTCCCACATGAACATGAGGGATAAATTCATGCTTATTGATTAGAATGGCAGACAGCACAGGTGCTGAGTCCGCTGAATGTCAGGGACAACACAACTTTCTTGTGAATGTGTTGAAGGGTTTCATTGTGAGCTTAGTTTCAGGCTCTATGTCTTCAGGCTAAACATGTATTAGACTGCCATCTGCTGGTAGGTGCATAAAAACGGCCTCAAATGGTCAATGCAAAAACTCCAAAAAATATTCAGGTTTCAGTGTCCAGTGGTAGATATAAAATAAAACAAAAACAAGAAATGTCTGCATTTGTTTTTAAACTTTTCACAAATTATATCCTTTATCTTTTTGTCTGTTTAGCGAACTTTGAAAGTTAGAAGTTACATCAAGCAATCACGAGAGGATTACTCATTCGGTGAAAACTAACAGAAATGACGAATCACTGCATGAGACCTGAATGTATGTAACATGAAATTACTCAGACACACACACACACACCAATTAAATATCTTCACAACCATCCAATTTAAATTAGTCTTATTCAGGCGTAAAAAAGACGAATGACAGGGAATGTGGTTAGACAGTAATGCTGAATACAAAGGCTTTGTTCATTATGGCAGAATAGATATTTCAGTCCATTGATTTTCAGAGATCATCCAAGGATATATCATCTTTTTCACAATGCTGCCTTTACTCTACTTGGGTGGAAAACATTGAAGGAGAAATCCCAGCATGAGGTCTTTTATATGAAGACAAATTCACTATCATACCAAACAGATGGTACGATATGTGTGAAACTGTGGCATTGGGTTTTGCCATATTGCAGATTAGAGTCACACTCAAAAAATGCAATTGGTGATTCAATTCTCACACTGTTCTGCTCAGTGAATGAGTCTTTTTCTATTATAGCCACTTATTGGAAGAGGAGTGTTTCTTTTGATTTAGCCTCAGTTGTGCTGTCACTGAATCGTAAAGGGAAATGGTAAAAGTATACTTGAATCTGTACAAGTGGGTGGTATTTCAAAGATTTCAAGTAGCTTTTCTAATATAATTTCACCTTCCTTTCAAAGATGAAATTGTTTTTCATTTACCAGTCCAATTCCCCAACCATGAGTGCCACATCTTATCCTCACACTTGAGGCTAGGTTTCTCAAAAGGTTTATTAAAATATATCATAAGATATTTTGCTCAAGAAAGTCGTGACAAGTGAGTTAAAATATATAAATCCTCCCACCACCCTCCATTCCCCTTGTTTTACACCTACATATTTTGACCTGTATTGAACATGGTTATTTGCTATTTCGAATAAAGTACTTTTTTTTTCAGATAGGCCTACTGCAATTTTCACATGATCATTACAGTATATGCTCATAATAATGCCATGTGTAGAATAATTTTCAAGACTTGTATTGGAATTTCTTTGAACTGTTAATTCCTCTTGCTGTCATTCCGATTCATATTTTATTTCCATTTCAACATCCTGCGTGGTGTGGGCAAATGAATTTAGATTCCATAATCATCATTGATTAGCCAATTATTAAAGGGAAAGTTCACTTTGAAATTAATTTTTGATAATACACGGAGATTTCGGAAGCGTTACCTTTCGCTGTGAAGATCTAAACATATTTAGATATACAGAAAATTGCAATGGAAGACAATTTCAATATATATCAACAGACAGACAATATTGAATTCTTTTTCGCAACCGCGCGAGAGATCACTTACGGCGCTTGTGCAGACCGAAGCGCCCGCGCCCTCAGATCACTTAGACGTCGCTGTGGTAACATGAGGTAAAAACAATATGAACACTGTTCGTTTTCTCACACAAACCTCTCCTTTCGTGTCATTTACGAGTCATTAAATCGTGTTTAATTTGGACTTCTCTGTGCATGTTCTTTGAGGTGGTGACCATAAACCTGCATTATATGACTGACAGACAAGAACGGTTTGACCTAAAAATATAAAAATTGAAACTCAAGCGGCAAAGACACCTACATCTTGGAAGCTTGAGGTAAGCTAAAACATATCAATAATTAATTTCAAGTTCAAAGTGAACTATTTAAATGTGATTTCAATATCGTGTACATGCATAACTTCATTTTGTAGGCCAAACCCTGAAGTGTTGTTTTCAGGGGTTTTTTTGTGATCAATTATTTATTCAATTTCTTACAATCATCCTTTACACACTAGAGAGGGAAACATTTTCACAGGAGAGAAATAGGCTGACCATCATTACCAGTATAACAGAAGCACACAATATTGCTTGTTCAGATGCCAGTATCTCTTCTCCTCCCCATATCCTACCCAACCCAAGGTTTCAGGTTTTCAAGTTGTTTAGAAGACTATCACTGGGACAATTTGAAATCAGAAGTGTAAAATTTTAATGTGAATATTCTCACCTTAGACATTTACCTCAATCCAGCCTCTCTCAGCCTATTGGAAACAGTCTGAGCACTGATGCAGGGATTTGGTAGTTGTTATTGTCGTCCTGTACGGTCCAGGTATGATATTCGGATGTAACGTTCCGGTAGGCCTACAACTTTGCTTGTGTTGTTACACGTTGTTGGCATTGGCACGATCAGCTTTCCCATCTCCCTGTAGCACTGACTTAGGCGTCTTAAAGTTATGTAAAATAAATACACATCATTGTCACAGCTGTCCTTTTTTAGCATCTTGAAGCACGCCGTTCTAAAAACCCATAAGAAATTCCAAACCGGAAGCAGATTTGAAAACGCAGATTTTATGTTATACATTACCAAGCCTCCACCAGCAGGTGGCAGGATTCACAAATCTTTTTTAACGCCTTGACCTATTCTGTTCAGAGCAGTCCGCCTCACAGAATAGTTGGCTACTGCGTGCTTAATATTTGTTTAAAAGTATCAAATGAGGCTTTTAGATAAAGTGCAACATGACCTTCAGTTTCCCAGAGAATAATCACAATAAAAACAGTACCATCAGGCTCTTGATTCAGTGCACCCCATGGGGTAAAATCCCAAAGGGACTTCGGTGGGATTGGACTTTAGCTACTTAGCCCATCACCCTGGCCCAATAAAGACAGCAACAGGAGGGTGTTAAAGCTCCTTCCTCAGACCTGATTAAAAGAACTCATTGGTTATCAAAAGAAGCAGAGCTGTGTTTACAGTACAGTGCTATGGCAGGCTTTGTTACATAACCCCCTTCAGAGTAAATCTGTAGGATCAGCAGTGTCACCCGAGAAGGGTCTGACTCTAGCATGAGGCGAGAAGAACCCACTGTCAATCAACGGGTGATTGTGTTCCTCATTAGGGAACAAGGACAGCAGGGAATTCCTAAACGTCACAAATAAACAACGGCATCTTTTCCAAAGACGTCCAAAACGTTTTCTGACAACCAAATGCTATACACAAAAGTCAAATGCTTGAGGAACAAATATGGTACAAGTCAACCCACCTTTATTTTTATATCACAGCTTTACAGTGAACAGGAAAATAATGATCAATGATCATTCAGAATTCAAGCAAACAGAATTCAATTTCTTTGTAAAGCACCTCTAAGGACAATAGTGGGATTTTTCAGCTTGAAGATCGGGATTCATTGTACTGGCATTTGGTGCAGAAGTGCAGAAAAAAAAAAAAAGATAAACTAATCATTCAGGTATGAAGTGATGTGACAGGAAATAATTCACTCAATGGTTTAAATCATTCAATATTAATACCGATGTTTTAATATTATTATCATAGATCTTTTGAGGAAATGTTGGGGAGAAAATGTGTGGTTTACAAAATCTTTATTGGTTAAAGAAAAGTCCAAGAAAAGCTTTGCATGGAGGGCACTATGAAGTCCTCTTTAATATTACAGAGTAAATCTTTGAGGTGACTTGGAACTGCGATTTTTCAGCTTGAGGAGAATGAACTTCAAAGCCATGTAGGAGAAGGGAAGAGCCGCGTGGGAGGACTTGGCTTGACTTTGGAGATGTGGCTTCAAATGCCCAAAGGGTCAGCAGATCACATCAATATACATGATAAGAAACCAACATTTCCACCATTAGTTCATGAGATTGTGACATGGTGATACGTCACTGTCCGCAATCCAGAGATTACTTCTGGAGGGGTTTGAGATCCATGTGTTTTATCATCAAAGGATGACTTACTTTCTCTTTTAAGACACCGCCGTTATCTTTAAACTAAAGTCTAACTTAAAGAATAAAACCTTTGATATTCAGCTGCTGCCATTACTTTGAGTGACCATGATGGATCTGGGCTATATTCAAGACATCATTTATTTAATGTTGCATTTAAACTCCAATATCATGCTAAAAAATATTATATAGAAGGATGAATAATGAATTGCATATTTCCACTGTTAGCTTTTGCGGTTCTTCAGATCTGTTGGTTTCTCATAGGATTTAATGAAGTGAGACTGATGGAATAGTGCTTCTCATGATTCAGTGGATGTTTGACTGATAGAGAGCCAGTGCAGATGATGATGAAGGTTTTTGATGGTTCTCTCCTCCTGCTGGGAACTCAGTAAGAGTCCTGTCACTGGAAGAGAGACCACTTGTTTGTCATTCGATACGTGATTGTGGTTTTAGCATGCTTAAATCGACTGCTTATGATAACAGATTTCATTTATTTTCATTTGTTTTTGAAGTTGAACAAGGACAGAATACATTTTTCTGTTGAACTATTGTTTTATAGCCCAAAGCTGGAAGCTCAGCAACAATATTTTTCGAGCGATTCTGAAAATTTTAAACTAAAAACAAATTTGGTTCCCTCTTGTTCAACGTTTTTTTTTTTGTTTGTTTGTTTTGTATGTGTGTATTAAGTGTTAATATAATTTGCTATTTTAAGTTATGGTTTTATCTAAAATATAATCTTTAATATATTTAGCATGCTGGCCTGGAAGAGAACTGATATTGTTGATTGAACTGGAAAAAGTGAGTTAATACAATGAAGGAGATTGATTTAATCATCAGAAACTAAAAATAATAAGTTATTTGAACTAAATAAATCATTTAGGTTGGTTTGACAAAAGAAAAAATGTTGTGATAACAACTTGAAAATATTTTTTTATATGAAGAGTTCAGATGCAAAAGCCTCTAAGTGCCATTTGAAATAGAATGATCTTTTTTATCAAGCTTGTATATTTAAGTTCAGTAATTTCACTTAAATGGCAATGAAGATTACCTATTAATTGTTATTTAAGTGAAATTACTGAACTTAAATATACAAGTTTGATAAAAATCATCATTAAAGAAGAAAATTTCAAATGGCATTTAGAGGCTTTTGCATCTGAACTCTTCATATATAAAGTGTGTGTGTGTGTGTGTGTGCAGTGCTATATTGTTTAATATACTGAAGTAATTTAACGTTGACGTCATTTGGTCTTGTATTGAGTTTGTTTGTCGCTGATGGTTTATTGTCCTGTTTATTGCCTCTGTTTGTCTTGGCATCAGTAAACATTGTTATCTCAACAGGGTGCCACCACATCTGACTATTCATGAGCACGATACACGTCAAGCCTGACACACTCACGATGACTCACCAGCCACAACAAATTAAGGTAAAGGCTTTCTGCCCACTGATTGAATAGCATTGAATTTTTTACTGAATATTGTGGTCCTTAAAAGACAAAACGACTCCCATGCTTTATTTCTTAACCTGATGTTACTGTAGATCATGGGTGAGTTACAAATAAAACTCAACACTTAGATAGTATCTCCTGATCATTCTTTCTGTCCTCTTTGTTTTCAGGTCTCAGGTATAACATTACTATTTGTTAACATTTACATTATCCATCTTAGGCGTTAACATTGCGGTTCTCCTCCTGATCTATAGGACTTAATGTTGCTCTCTGAAACAGCCCAACTCTGTGTGAAAAGGTAATAAAAAAATCACTTCGCACACAATAACTCTCAGGGCTTCTTTTGCGCAGGAGACTGGGTTCGGGGAATGCTTTCATTAATCATGAAGCCCAGAACCGGCTCTAGCACCGCTGCTCCTGAACATACATAACTGTCCTGGCAGGAAGAGCGATCGCTGGCCCCTCGCTCGGCACAGGGCTAAAAACATCACGACCCGCTGCATGCTGGGAGTTTTTGTAAATGATGGGACCCGGCTGAAATGTCCATCAGAGAGTGTATGTGGCATTTGAACAGAAAGAAAACAAGAAGTTTGACATTCTTAAGCAAAGAGCGGTGTGTTCTTGTCTAGCACGGTCTTCAATTCGTATTACAGTGTCCCAGAGGTCCTTAATGCTGCATTATCCAATATTTCACAACAATCCATGTTATGATTCATATTAAGTTTAAGAACATTCAGTGCCACAAAGAGAATGAGTTTCGCAGTGATCTGAGCTTATGCTGTTGTTTGCTTTATGAGCTCATTGTTTATACATTGTTTCTGAGAGTCAATAGAGAGATGTCTTGTAATGGTAATATATGGAAAATAATATTATAAGAGATAAGCAGAGAATATGATGACCAGCACACATCATCATCTAACAGTACAACAGACAGACTGTTATTTGAAATCCAAATCTTTTGTAATAATATAAATCTCTTTAGTTTCACTTTTGTTCAATTTAATGTTGCGATAAAAGTATTAATTTCATCTTTCAAAAAATCATACTGACCTTAAACTATATCATCATATTTTTGCTATAGGTGTCGGGTAAACAAGAGAACACAATAAAACCACACTGCCCTACGTTTAAGCAACTATCAACTATATTAGTGAACTACATTAGTGAAAGTAGATTTGAAATAAAAGGTTCAGCTGTGTTCTCAGGACCAGGGCAAGATTGTGTTAAAGTTTTTATCCATTTAGTTTATAAATTACGAGTGAGTGAGTGAGTGAGTGAGTGAGTGAGTATGTGAGTAAGTACATGAGCGGGGGAGTATGTGAGTGAGTGAGTATGTGATTGAGTGAGTACATGAGCAAGTGAGTATGTGAGTGAGCAAGCATGTGAGTGAGTGAGTGAGCGAGTAAGTACGTGAGCGAGTTTGTGTGCGTGTCTGTGTGTGTGAGTGTGAAGGAGTATGTGAGGGAGTGAGTACATGAGCGAGTGAGTACTTGAGTGAGGGAGTATATGAGTGAGTACATGAGCAAGTGAGTGTGTGAGTGAGCAAGCATGTGAGTGAGTGAGTGAGCGAGTAAGTACGTGAGCGAGTTTGTGTGCGTGTCTGTGTGTGTGAGTGTGAAGGAGTATGTGAGGGAGTGAGTACATGAGCAAGTGAGTGTGTGAGTGAGCAAGCATGTGAGTGAGTTAGCGAGCGACTAAATACGTGAGTGAGTGAGTGAGTTTGTGTGTGCGTGTGAAAGAGTGTGTGTGAGTGAGTGAGTGAGTACATGAGTAAGTGCATGAGCGAGGGAGTATGTGAGTGAGTATGTGAGTGAGGGAGTATGTGAGTGAGTGAGTACATGAGTACATGAGCAAGGGAGTATGTGAGTGAGTATTTGAGTGAGTGAGTGAGTGAGTGAGTACATGAGCGAGTGAGTACATGAGTGAGGGAGTATTTGAGTGAGTGAGTACATGAGCAAGTGAGTAGTGTGAGTGAGTGAGTGAGTGAGTGAGCAAGCATATGAGGGAGTGAGCGAGCGACTAAATACGTGAGTGAGTGAGTGAGTGAGTGAGTGAGTGAGTTTGTGTGTGTGTGTGTGTGAGTGAGTGAGTACATGAGTAAGTGCATGAGCGAGGGAGTATGTGAGTGAGTGTGTGAGGGAGTATGTGAGTGAGTATGTGAGTGAGTGAGTACATGAGCGAGTGAGTACATGAGCAAGGGAGTATGTGAGTGAGTATGTGAGTGAGTGAGTGAGTGAGTGAGCATGAGCAAGTAAGTATGTGAGTGAGCAAGCATATGAGTGAGTGAGCGAGCGAGTAAATACGTGAGTGAGTGAGTGAGCAAGCGAGTGGGTGAGCGAGTAAATACGTGAGTGAGGGAGTGCGTGAGTGAGTTTGTTGTGTGTGTGTTTGTGTGAGAGTGTGTGTGTGATTATTCCCGACAATGCCCAGAGTTAAATGTGTAATGTGGGTGATTAATTGCACTGGCTTGAACAAAAAAAAATGACCATTGGAATATAATTGCCTCTGATACTTTTAAATCAAATATACAAATAAAAAATCGATGTCAAGAATTACAGTAAGAGATTACATCTGACAGTGACGCGACATGTCTGACATGTGCTATTTACTTTGGTACAGCACCAGATGGGCCTGTTGGCAGGGACGACTGAATAAACTATCCACAAGGAATACAAATGTGTTTACATGCATACTGTAATTATAAAGACCACATTGTGCTTGATTGCAGAATTGGGCCAAAAATGTCCATCAAGGATACAGGGCACGGAAACTCTGTGAGTCGTCTAGAGGAGAGCCATTCAAAGTCAAGGCATAAACTGTTGGACAGGAGGCATCATATCATTTTCCACACAAAGTCCTGTGTGCTTTGTTTTTGTTTTTGCCATTGCTCTTGCCAGTTTATCTTTGAAATATCTTTCACAAAATTCATGCCTGCTTGTACAAAGAATAGATTGTTTCTATTCTTTATGTGTTCACTGGTTAGTGAATTACAAAGCATCCATTCAATGATTTTATACTACTAAATTGTGAGCGCAAATGTAAATATGACCAAATAATTTTTTCAAAACAATCACAATACTGGAAATATATTGTTATTTGATTTGATTAAAGGGGAAATAATAAATGCACAGTACATTTTTGTAATCCATAGTGTTTTAAAATGAGATTTCCCCCCCTCCCATCTGCAGGTCTGGTGTTGGGCAGCAGAGACATCTCTCTTCTGCATGTTTCACTCCCCCAAGCGTGTGAGGGTCTTTATTAATGAGCGTAACTCACCCGGAGGGTCAAACCCATTCGGCCTGCTGGTTGAGCTCATCTGCAGCAGACTTGTATTGTGCCTCACATGTGCTACACCATCAGTCTTACTGTGAAGCTGTGGATTCAGAGAAATTAGAGATCAGTGACCAAGAGATGGATACAGAGATTCCAGTCGGGGGCCGTATACACAATACCGTTTTCAAAAACGTAAAACTTTTTATGTGTTTTTGAAAATGATACCGTTATTTTAAACTGGTTCCAGTAAACTATGCACAAAAGCATGAATTTGTGAAAGCGGTGACGTTATGCGTATGTGTACTTAACGTGTTTTTTGTGAATGTGCAAGACTTTCGGTTTATTAGTAGCTATGGGGAAATAACGAGAATATTTCGAGTTGCAGTAAGCTGTAAAACCTTTTGCGAAACAAACAAGCATGTTTATAATCAAGACACTACATTAAAATAATATGGTAAGATACAGTGGCGTAACTTTTCATTGATTTTTTTCGCTTGCTCAGACCAAAGCCCCTGTGCCTTCAGATCACTTGGACGCGGCTGTGGTTACAAGAGGTAAAAACGATATAAATACCGTTCGTTTTCTCACACAAACCGCTCGTTTCGTGTCTTAGGCCATCAATGTGTACTTACATTTACGAGTCATTAAATCATGTTTAATTTGGACTTCTCTGTGCATGCTCTTTGAGGTGGTGACCATTGACTTGAGGTGGTGAACATAGACCTGCATTATATGACTGACAGACACGAACGGTTTGACCTAAAATATCAAAATTGAAACTACTGCGGAAACAAAGACACTTGACCCTGGATAAAAGTCGTGGGGACATGTCACGCAGTCTTCACACGCACGCGCGCTTCAGTCCGTTTCGGAGACTGTTCCGGTGAAATCACGAAACAAAAATGCACACAAACGTGTCCCTGCTTAATATAATACAACCACTAATGAACATATTTGGTTTTGATGGAAAAAAAAAACCTATATGAGTGCGGATTTAATTTCCTGCATGAAACAATAGTTTCAACAGTTTGCAATCTCAAGCAGCATAATGAGCTGTTTTGCATAAACAGCTAAAAAGAACTGGAAGCGAATGACACCAGAAGCCAGACACATTAAAATAATGCCCGCTCTTACCGGAAAAATAATAAAGGTGTTGGCGCTCAGTGTCTTTACAAAGTGACAACTGGCCTGGCATGCATAATACAGCATTTTTAGTTGTTCACAAACATGAAAATAAGCTAAAAACAAATAAAGATCATTCTTATTATTTGGTTATTTTTATATTAAAAAAAACATACATCTTCCTAGTTATGCCAAGCTCTAAAATATTTTATCGGGTAGAAATTGTGAATCATTGGAGCCTTCAAACATTGTTGGTTTGAGATCTAGTGGTTGAAGTATATTAACAAAAATTCATTCTTCAGCAGTCAATGCAAAATACTAATAGTTTGTATCAATCAAGTCAAAAAATGTAAAAGAAAAACAAACTTGTGGATAAAAAAACATGAGAACAATAATGAAAAGAACAGGTTGTTTATTTGGCAAAAGCCACAAACAGTTGTGTAAAGTTGTGTTTGTCTCAAAATGAGAAATATGTAACTGTCAACAGAGAAGCTGAAAAAGGATCAGTACTAAACCAGAAAATTATTTAGCATTTAATTTGTCAATTTACTCGGAAACACTAATATAATATCATAACTGTAACAGTTTTAAAATAAAATAAGAAATTAATACTTTTATTCAGTGAGGGCATTAAACTGATCAAAAGTCACAGTAAAGACTTTTACACTGATACGAAAAAAATATATATTTCAAATAAATGTTCTTTTGAGCTTTCTGTTCATCAAAGAATCCTGAAAAAATGTGTCACGGTTTCCACAAAAAAAAAAAAAAAAAAAAAATTAAAATAAGCAGCACAACCGTAATAATACGCACAACACAACATTGATAAAAATAAGAAATGTTTCTTCTTATTACCAAATAATAAGAAGTTTCTTCTTAGCACCAAATCAGCTAATAATCATGATCTCTGAAGGATCATGTGACACTGAAGGCTGGAGAAATAATGTTGAAAATTCAGCTTTGCCATCACAGCAATAAATTATCTTCAAAAACATATTTTAAATTGAATGGTAGTGTACCAAATTCATAAAACCAAAATAGACTGAACTTTGAAAACAAAAGAGTGTTACAAATGTGTACTCATGACATTTTTTAAAGGCAACTAATATGATTCAAAATGGCAATCTATTAGTGAATCATGTTCAAAAGAGAGCAGGAGCTAAGAAAATGAAAAAACAAAATGGAAACAGATTGCTTATTTGAATGAACTTTTATTCCCATAAAATAAAAAAAATGTGCTCCTCTGCATGTGGCACTGCAGACTAGCCACAGCTAGAGAGCGTTAATACAGCTTTGCTGCAAAGCACACAGACATAGTGTTAGTATGTCAGCCATAACCTCTCTGTTAACGTCATGAGAGTATAATACTGTTGAGTTCTGCGCCCTTCATATTCATGACAACAAGAGATGCTTAAACAAAAGAAGAAAAAACACTATTCAGAGATGTTTTAATTAAATTAATACTTTTTAAATGGGCTGAAATCTTTGTTTGTTCCATATAAGTAATGATATAAACTGGGCAGCCACTATTTCATGAAAGTAACTGACTGTATTATTATTATTAGGCAAAAACAGTTCCGATCATGAATATTGGACTAAGTTTAGAGTTCACATGGCCCAAGTTATGTTGGCTGCGTGTTCTTTAGCCTTCATGCGCAGTACAGCAATGCTGGAGGACCGCCGTTCAAACTCGGGTTTGGTCTCAAACGCGGCGTGACTGTTCTGCGAAGGAGCCAGGAGTGAATCGGCGAAGAAGTTATTGAGAGACACGTGATTAACTCCAAACTGATTTTGCTGGTGATTGGGGAAGCCCACGTAACCGTGCTCAGCGGCCCTCGGCGAGTGTGGGTAGGGTGATGTCACGCAGGGAGGGGAACCTCGCGGGATCATGCAGGACGACACTACGGAGCTGCCTGGAGCGGGACCGGTCCATAAGTTGTTGGGAATCTGTGTGGTCGGAGAATGTGAGATGGGAAAAACAAAACAACAACAGGCTTGAATAATAAAGTAAACAAAACCAAATGTTTGAACATTCATGGCACATTTGGAAAGTTAATTGAATTTTAAAACATAAATCGATGCATTTTTGTGTGTCTGGGAAACGTTTCTGATCCACTGATGACATCATATCAGATACACCCTCAATCTGCATTAAAATGCAGTGACGATTATGACCAAGACTTTAAATGAATCCAGACCAGGCTTTTAAAAACAAACCCTGCAGTCCACAAAAATGTATCTGTGTTCACCACAAAAATCTGAGTGTACACATGTCATGGGCATAAGACAAACACAAGCCCTGCAGTGTGGTTTACAACATGCCTGGTGCAATAAGGACCTGCTGTAATGTCAAATTAAGGCAGATGCTTTTTTTATATGACTATGGAAAACGCATGAGTAAGGAATCTGCTCTCGGATGAAGGAAATTGAGGTCCCGCGGTGCCATGTAAATCTTCCTCTCCTGTCCTCCCAACACGTTTTGTCAGTTACCGTGAGACGGCTTTCTGCAGCCTGACTGACCGCCCACCCTCACCCGTCACCACAGATCCAAGCTCTAAAGGCTATCATGTCAACAATTCATGCTTTGTGTTTGAGTCGGTAAGGACCATATGCTATTTGCTAAAATTACCTCAAATGTTTTGTGACTTTTAAGTCAAATCTACTTCTACAATGTATGGCAAATAGGTGATTACTTCCAAGATGTGGTCAAAACGACATTCAAACAGTGCAGAACAATCATACAGGTTTGCCAGTATACAGGTAAATATGATGATGATTTTTTATTATTATTATTATTATGAAACAAATAAGTAAATCACCTGTGAGTAGCTGTCTGTCCGGGGCAGCATTGATATGTCATAGGTTGCTGCAAAGTGGCTTTTGGCCTGTTGGATCTGTCCATACCTTTCTCTCTTCCTCCACTTGGCTCTTCTGTTCTGGAACCATACCTTCAGTAGAAAGAGGAAACTTTAGTTATTTTTACCATGATGTTTAATGATTTAGATAGTACTGAGAAACAATAATTAACTGCATATAGGATTTTAGGTTGTGTTTTAGGGTTAGTTACATGTAATTATGCATAATTTACTGTTATCACTATAATAATTACATGTTACGTGTAATAAGGACACTGTGAAATAAAGTGCTACCATTTATTTGTATTTAAATATTTGTAAATGTTATTAAATGTTAAGTTATAATTAATTACTGTGGCATTAAATTCATAAATTGTGACAGGAAGGCAAGGCTTACTAAGTTTAGATTGAAAACAAATACAGATCTATAACTAAATAAAGGTAATAAATGTCATGGTACACAAACACTGTTAAATATAACAGCTCTTTATTAGCATCTATGGTTATTAATATATATATATATATATATATATATATATTATACTGTATCAATGGAACCTTTCCATTGGACAAAAGTTTTTGTATAGTGCAAAAAGGCTATTTGGGTTATTAAAATGTTCTTTACACAAAACTGTTTACACAGAACTGTTCACTGAAAGTTTTGGGGAAGCTAAAAGTTCTAATCTAAAGAACCTTTTTTTTTCCACAATAAAGAACATTTTTAACAATGGAAAGATTCCATGTTAAAGGTTCCTCATGGAACTATGCAAATAAAGAACCTTTATTTGAACCCGCCTTTTGGAACCTTTATTTTGTATATTTTAGTGAGCACTGTAAATATGTTTTCATCACGACAGCGTCTTATTTTTCATAATTTCATTAGTCTAAATTTCCTTTCACTTCTTTTTTATGAGTTTTCGAGGGTTAAATTTTATTATGTTAATCTGTTATTAAATTCAAAATAAAAACAAATATTCTCAACCAACTCGTCACATCGTTCATCCTTCAGATAACGTTCCCCAACTTCCCATACCCAACGCGTCTATGACGTTCCTTTGGATTATCCTGCATGTCGAGCGCCAAGAACCAAGCGAAAATGTTGAATGAACAAGTGATGATATAACAAGACTGAAATCCATTTTACGTTTTCAATTTTAGTTTGTTTTTATTTGTTTACGTTGAGGAATTCATGTAGTTTGAGCAATGAATGTTTTATAGGCCTAGTGAGTAAAATGTCCTTAAACATAGGCTAATGACGTTTTTTCTCAGACAAGGCCTGAGTTCTTGAGAAGTTCCTGAAATAAATAAATAAATAAAAAGCAAAGGATTTTTAGAGAATCCAAATTACCTGAACTCTTGCCTCCGTGAGCTCTGTTCTCATGGCCAGCTGTTCTCTCACGTACACATCTGGGTAGTGTGTTTTCTGGAAGACTTTCTCGAGTTCCTCAAGTTGAGCGCTGGTAAAGGTTGTGCGATGACGTCTCTTCTTGCTACTCGACACGTTGCTGTCGCATTTTTCGCCGATGTCGTCCAGCTCCGTTTTGTCTGGTCCGGTCGTGGCCGGAGAGACTCTGACACTGCAGCAGTTCTCCATCGCGTGCAGGCTGCCGTCCTCAGTTTTTGGAGCGCAGTAATTCACGCCTGTGATTATTAAAATAGAGGTAGTTGACATAAAATTGCAGTTTCAGCAGCATCTAAAACTAAATCTAAAACCTAATTTAGAAAAACAATTCAACATAGAGAAACTGCATGGAATAAAGTTATAAAGTCATGAATAAAGGAATTAAGAACTATTTTATTTTAACACCGTAGGCTATATGATGATCTCAAGGGGTTTATTAAAAAAAAAAGAAAAAAAAAGACCTTAAATATAGCTACACTTTATTAAATTCTATATAAATAATGATGGAATGTATAGGACTCTATTATTGGGCCTTTTAGACAGGAGGTTTTTTTTTTCTTCAATAAATGAAATGACATTCATTTATTTTCATAATCCTGTTTTAATGAAAATAAATCACTTATCTGAAACATTGTTCTCGAATGACTTTTTAATGAAAAGTGTTTCCACAAGTATAGCGCATTAAGCGATAAGCGGATACATAAAAGAGCAATGTTTTTATTAAAAGAATATAGTTTTAAAGGCCAATTTTTTTTTATTTAGAATTAATAAGGAATTAGTTTGGTTTCTAGAAGAAAAGAAACAACTTTGTAGCTGTTTTTTGTTTGTGCATAACTTAGGCCTATAGGCCTATATTTTTAATACAACTCAACACATTATTCAAACGTTTGAATTGTTGAAAAGTTGTAACCTTTAAAAAAAAAAGAGCCTAAAATAATATTTAAATATTAGTTAAATCTGTATAGGCTATATATTGTTCACATTTAATTCTTAGATAATCTTTTTCGCTAGGTTATTTAATAGCCATAGAGGCCTGTGAATCAAATAAAAACATTATCGTTGGAGTAAGCAAAAGCCGTAATTATCTTCAATTTGGCTATTTTGTATTACACATAAAAATAAAAGTTTATTACAAAACGTGATTTTATATTCTGATGCCACAGAAGGAAATTATATGACACAAATAACTTTTTTGCATAAATCGGTGCTTTAAATTGCTATCTGAACGCACTGACATGAAGAAACTTTTAAGAACTAAATTTGAGATCTGAACCTTTAACTGTTTTACAAAAAGAATCTGTTAAATGGTGAACATTTTGTAAAACATTTAAAAAGTTACGGGGGGTACTTTCTTATTTTTTCTCAAAGCCAGACTTACTGTTTCGGTTGTCACACGGAGACGATCGGTCCATCGTGCTGTGTTGCTCATTGCTCTGCATCGAGAAGGATTGCACGCATTTCGGTGATGTCTTGTTGTAGAACGGCACATTGTCTAAAGTCTCCATAACTTGGTCCATGTAGTAATCACTGCCTTTAATCGCTTGACTTTTCAAGGAGAACTTGTCGCTCAAGTACTCCATCATGGTCCTCTGGCCTCGACTCAAGCATGAAGAGCGTCAATGGACACCATAAATGTTTTAGTGATGTCAAAAATGAAGCAACTCAGCCAATTATTTGTGCAAGTCGTTAATTTGTCTTGTCTTAAAGAGACCGAGGGCCACTCTTTATACGGCAAAGAGTGGGAGATTCAAGCAGCCACCCAGCTTCTGAATATGGAGAAGGTGAAACTCCACCCATGCGCATGCACAAGCACTAAATAAGATTTATGAAACTCTCCGATGACCCGAAATGAAACAGTTACACTTGCTTTCGCTTTCGTGTTTGGATATCTCTAATGATTATTTAAATCCGACTGGAGATATTGCGCGCTATTTAAAGTGTTAAACCATCTGTAAACAATATTAAGCATTTCACTAATCATATTAGAGTCGGATGAATGCTAAAAAGAACACTAGCCTAAAGTAAGCTGTCTTTATAAAGCATATACTACGCTTCACATGTTATTTAATAAAACGAATAAAGTTATTAATAAATAACATCATGAGGAAAACATCAAAACGTTCTACTTTCACACTTATTCAGCACACAATTCAGTAAATGTTCCAGCGCATATTAGCCAAGCTGACAGAAAACAGGCCTAGTCGAATTATGGCATTTGGGATAAAAACATTTATTTTACAGTTCTGTAAATGTCATTAAATTATTTAAGCTTATTTGCTCTGAATGATTTTAAGGTTATAATACGTTTTATTTATAACACAATCCTATTTTAAAAATAAAGTGCATTGCCTTGTTAAATATAGCCTAATGTACATTTTCAAATAAATAATAACATTTTACTTATTTCAAACGTTTTTACAATATAGTAAAATGACAGGCTAGCAATATGGTCTTTATTTAGGCCTATATTTAAATATTTTTAACGCACAGATACATTTTAGAGAACCAGTAAACAGGCATTTGCTGCAGCACTTTTTTAAAGATAACTTTTATTCTTATAACATTATTCTAATAGCTATTTATATCGGCACGACAAACCTGTCGCAAGTCTCATGAAACGTCAATCTGAATTTTCCAATCAATAATACGACGAAAAACACGAATAACATCACGACGTTTACTGACGGTCACATAACTCCACTGTGAAGAAATGCAGGCTGTGTGACCTGAATAATAAAATAATAATAATAATAATCACTTTTTCCACACAATTTGAAGAGCCTAAGCTATCCTCTCAAAGTCCTAGATAACTGATTTGTTTTAATTGTCACAAATTATCAAGCCTGAAAAAAGTAAGTTAGTTTGCTTGTTGTTTTCAATAAAAGTGTGATAGTAAAAACTAACATAGTCATTTGTTCGGTATACTTTTAAGCTCAGTTGCTCAGTCCAAAATCCACTGATAACTCAAACAATGAAGAGCTTCTCATTCCCGACATTGTGACACGCGCAGAAAGTCATTTTTGGATTCGAGATTATAAAGCTCGGCACCAAAATGATTTTGCGACCACCTAAACGTTTGTATCTCAAACAGGAAAGGCGCCATCCGATACCACCCTCACTCCAAAGTGTGTGTAAGAGATCACCGTCTTCTCTCTGCCAGCAAACCTTACCACCTGCCAGGCTAGCCATATCTAAGGGTCACTTACAATGCTTGGGGTTTGATGGTGCCACTCCGAGAAAAAAATGAAAATAAATAGGGGTGTTCTTAAGTAGCAGGGGGGTTCTTTTTAAGGCTCTGAAATGACCTTCTATTTGGACCTCTTGCTGAGGGGAAAATGTGAGAAATTCTGTGTGGTTTGTTGAAATTTTGTCTGCGCATTAGAAGCAAAGCACATGAAAGCACAAAAGAATCAATGTTACTTACGGTCTAATTTCACTCAATTAAGCGCGAAAATACGCGCGATACTGCAAAATCAACTCAAAAAACAATGCAATGAGGTACAGTATTTAAAACACTTGATCTGTCATTTGATCCTTTTAATACCAAATAATAAAAACATTATGCAACATTGTGGGTAATGTTTTCCAAACTGAGTCTTTATTTTTGTATCATTGTTGTTTATTATTATAGATGTTCCAAGCATCCAGGCATTGTACTCATATCTTTAAAATACGTTAAAAAATGTAAAACTAATTATTAATTCAATCGTGTTAACGTAATATACGAAGTCTTAATAACACAAAATTCATAATGTCATGAGGATCCTTGCATGTCCTTGATATAATAATATGATATGTAAAAAGCAAATATATGACAGCATTGATATTTTACACTCTAAAAAATGCTGGGTTGTTTTAACCCAATTTTGGGTCAAATATGGACAAACCCGAAATGTTGGGTTAAAAATGTAATGTAAAAATTTAACCCAACGGCTGGGTTAGTCCATATTTGACCCAAAGTTGGGTTAAAACAACCCAGCATTTTTTAGAGTGTAGTATCACTGATAAGTTTTATTAATATTTTGAATTACATTTTATATTTTTATAAACATATTTTCACACATTTTTCTGTTTAATTTAATGTTCATGTAAACGTTTCGTAATTTTTGTTTTAAGGTTTTATGTCTATAAAAAATGCTGAATTGTTTTAACCCAATTTTGGGTCAAATATGGACAAACCCTGCCATTGGGTTACATTTTCAAATTATATTTTTAACCCAATGTTTGAGTTTGATCATATTTGACCCAAAATTGGCATTTTTAGAGTGTAGTTTTTATAAATTTTATTTAATTTGAGTTAAGTTGAACTATAAAGTTATAAAGTTTATTTTAGTTTCAGTAATAATAACCTGTAATGACACAGGGATCTCCCTATGATATCTGTCAAATTGGTCGAGATGATTTTCTCTATTATGATTATTGATCTGTGTTGTATTATTTTCCTGTTATCACTGTGAAGCTGCTTTGATACAATCTCTATTGTAAAAAGCGCTATATAAATAAATGTGACTTGACTTGACATGATGCTACATTCTTACATCATTTTAATGGTTTTGTAAAGGCCACATGAGGCTTTAAGGTCACTGACATGTTTGCCATTGTTTATTGCCTCTCTCTGTTTCTCTCTCTCTCTTTATGTACTATAGTCAGAGTGAAACTCAGAGTTCAGTACGAGAGTGTCAGCTGGGTTTGTATATATGCCTTTGCAGTCACTTAAGTAATTAAAATGATAATAAACGGTTTGTGGCCACAGTCACTTCTTCCAGCTGCTGTGATTGAGCTGCTCAGGTCAGGCCAGATGCATTGAGCTTGCGATGTGAAAGGCCTTTTCATTTTAGTGTGAAGGATTATTCAATGAGTATTTATTTTCCCCATAATGCGTTCCTGGGTAGTTAAATACAACGTAGTCTATTAGAAACCCAAACAAACCAATAGGTTTTATACGGCTCTGAAGGGTTTTACTAACCTATGCAGATCTGCTCTTGCTGGCAGTTGAAAAGATTATCTCTCAGGGTTTGCTTATGTTTTCTGTGGGTAACAACTGGCATGAATTACCCGCTGGCATCAGTCTGCAAATTCAGTCTGTTATTCTGAGATTTAGCAAAAGTGGAAACTTGGAAATGCACTGTACTCTGGGACACATATCCAAACACAATGCCAAAACTCCCACTAATAAGACACCTCATTCTCAAGATTTAAGCTATTTTATCATTTCTAGGCATACAAAATGAACTCTGAGCTGGTGCCAGAAAGTTAAAATACAGAAAGAAGGATATCACCCTCAGAAAAAAAGGTACAAAAACTGTCACTGGGGCTGTACCTTTTCAAAAGGTACACTTCTGTACCCAAATGCTGCATATTGGTACCTTAGTGGTACACATTAGCACCTAAAATGTACATATTAACACCTAAAATGGACATATTATCTCATGAAATTGACATATTAGCACCTAAAATGTACATATTAACACTTAAAATATACATATTAGTACCTAAAATGTACTTAACACCTAAAATGGACATATTATCTCATGAAATGTACATATTAGCACTTAAAATGTACATATTAGGACCTAAAATGGACATATTAGCTCCTGAATTGTACATATTAGCACCTAAAATGCACATATTAACACTTAAAATGTACATATTAACACCAAAAATGTACTTATTAGCACCTAAAATGTACATGTTAACACATAAATGTACATATTAGCACCTAAAATGGACAAAAGTTTACTTTTTGAAAAGGTACAGCCCCAGTGACAGCTTTTGTACCTTTTTTTTCTGAGAGTGTATTATCAGTTTCTATTAACACTAAAGAAAACATTAACTCTAATGTATGCATTCTTTTCACCGATCTTCTGACTGTTTGCCATAAAAAAAAAGTTGAGTACAAACCAAATACTGTATTGGCAGTGATCTTTGATATATTACTTTTGTTAAAAGTGCATCGTTTTATATTGAGCTTTATGAACAACACAAATTCCCAGTATAAGGAAAGAAAAAAGTCAATTGAATACAGGAACAAGCTGTTTTTTATTGCCTGTCATTGTCTGCATATTAAGCATGTCATTTGTAAATGGTTTCCACCCATTCCATGGCTCGCAGTGCTCATGTTAAATGGAGTGATACTTGAAAGCAATACGTATCCTGTGACTGCCTGCAGATATTTGGGCTATATCTCATCCATTGCTTCTAATTCATTTGTAGAAGAGGAAGCTGGATTTTAGTAAAAACAGCAGCTGGAAGGAATTTCAGAGGAGATCAAATGTGCATTGTAAGTCTTGTTAAGAGCTTACATCAACAAGACATCCATCACATTCGGAATATATACACGGCCACAAATACGAAGGGTGAAAACAAAAGAACAAACTGAATCAATATTGTCGCAGTGCAACAAACACAACCTGATGTGGTTATCTTTTTTACTTGTTCACTTTGGCCCTCTTCTTTCCTCCACCCCAGCCTCCACTGCGTCGCACTGGGTTGTCCCGGAACGAGATGCGTTCCTTTTGGATCGGCGCTGAATTGACTCTGGTGGGTGATGGCACTTCTGCTTCTGTGAAGACAAAGATGATTTTGTAAAAATACACCTTCAATAATCCAAACGCATTTTCATCATCAATGACCTGTTAAGACTTTGACTGACATTTCTGCTGTTTCTAACAAGGACAGTTCTTTCAAACACACAGCACAATGCAAGCTTTTTTTTCTGTAGCTGATGTGTTCCACGTGTAGAACCCATGGGTTCACACAGCAAGAAGCCATACATGGCAAAACAAAACAGCAGGTAAAACTTCATATACTCAGGAGGATACCGTGCACCACATATTATTACACAGAATTCTATTTCATTTCAAAGATCAAATGTAATCAGAAGCCAAGTAACTCTTAAAGGGATAGTTCAATCATACCAATTTTTGGTATGTTTCAGATTACCTCAAGCCGGGCATCCAAGATGTACGTGTCTTTGTTTTAATTTTGAGTATTTATAGTATTTTTATAGTATTTATTTTCAATTTTTATCGTATTTATATTGAGTATTTATAGTATTTTTTGAGTTTTTACCTCCACAAACGCCCGCGCACTCAGATCACTTGGACGTGGCTGAGGTAAAAACTATATAAATACTGTTAGTTTTCTCACACAAACCGCTCATTTCGTGTCTTAGGCCATCAATGTGTACTTACATTTACGAGTTATTAAATCATGTTTAATTTGGACTTCTCTGTGCATGCTCTTTGAGGTGGACCCCATAGACCTCCATTATATGATTGACAAACATGAACGGTTTGACCTAAAAATATCAAAATTAGGGCTGTCAAATGATTAATCGCATCCAAAATAAAAGTTTGTGTTTACATAATATATGTGGGTGCACTGTGTATAATTATTTTATATATATAAATACACACATGCTTGTATATATTTAAGAAATATTTTCATGTATATACTGTATATAGATTTATGTATAATTTATATTATATTTAAATATAAATATTTTATACATAAACATTTTTTTTTTCTTAAATATACATGCATGTGTGTGTATTTATATATACAAAATAATTATACACAGTGCACCCACATATATTATGTAAACACAAACTTTTATTTTGGATGCGATTAATCGCGATGAACCGTTTGACAGCCCTAATCAAAACTGAAACTACTGAGGAAACAAAGACACCTACATCTTGG